TCTCCTTTAATTCTTCTGCCACACCTGTGAGGGATGTGCCTAAAGAGACGCTTACACAGGCGGTCTCTGGACAGCTATCTAGGCACAGGCCTGCAACCTCTGCCATAGGCTCATGTGGGTTGGGAGTGTCCTGTTCGCGCGCGCTCACTTCTCCACATGGCCTTGAAGTAGGGGCAGTTGCGACCCCTACTGGCGGCTGCCTTTTGAGTGTTGGGCAGCCCAACGGGCTTGTCTATACTTTGGACAAAATTTGATAACGTGGGCCGGGTCACCGCAGAATACGCACTGACCCATGTTCATGCGTTCCTGCCATAATTGTCGGTCCAAGCCCAAATCTTCCCAGGGCCTGCCCTGCGGCAAGCCTGGGTGCCATCCTCCTTGAGGTGCCCTTCCACCTCTTCGCTGTGGGGACTGATTACCCTGGCGATTTCACGGGGGACCTTGACCCCTACCTCCTGCTTGGCGGTTTCCCTGCCCTCCAACCCCCTGTGCGTCCGGTCCTCGGCCTCCCATGGCCTGGCCCCTTTGGCCCTGGCCTCCTCCTCCTCCTTGCGGCCTCCTTCCAGCCGCGACAGCAGCGTAAGACCTCCCCTGCCCCACACTACTGCCATCATCTTCAAGGCCCCACTCAATCTGATCATACGGGACCTCACCAGTACCACCTTCCTCTAACGTCAGGATCATGTGATCCTTGGCCTTTACTTGGCCTGAGATAGTACGGTTCTTCCACTTCTTCCCCTTCTCCAGGTCCTTATGCCAGAAAGTGGTAACTGGCATAGACTTTGACTCATACAGGACGACCTCCCTACTCAATTGGTCATAGGTGATGCCGGTCTGTTGAGACTTGTCAAAGAAATGCCCGCGTAGGGCCTCTGGGATGGCACGATAAAACAATTGGACCAACTGGGGCTCGGTGACCCCGTGGTCCGGGACGGCTACCAAGTCGTCCATAGTACCCTTGAGTGCCTTGGCACTCCTCCATAGTTGAGAGTGAATCGTTTGAAGCTTATCAGAGGGTCTAATGCCTCGCGTTGGGTCAKCGAACCGCTCCTTGAGGAGCTTGAGGAATTGGGAGAGAGGAGTGACTTTGGAATACGCAATCAGGTTGTTTTCACAACCGGCTGTACGCGCAAGAGACCTAGCGAAGCTAGCCGCTTCATCTTTGAGGGTCTGGAAGGCCACAAGGACTTGTTCCTCAACCAAGATATGCTGCAAATAAATATAACTATTGACACTGGATTCCCAGTTGTCAAAGTTTTCTTCCTTCTTTCCCCCGTACGCATCCGGAAACTTAAGCTTCACTGGGTCCTTACGGGGTCTGGCCTCTCCCTCTACAGCGGCTACATCTTTGGCACCCTGAATGGCGCCCTCACAAAACTTCCCTAGATCATCTCTCAAGTGCTTCACTTCGCCCCCAATATGGGTGACGATCTCGCGCGCAAAATCTCTAAATCCTGACCGCATGGCACTCGATGCTACATCCTGGCTCCAGCTTGCCTGGCGCTCCTCCATCCAGGCCTTGCTCAACACCTCCAAGTACCCAAATACTTTGTCCCACTTGGCCGTATCGTCTGGTTGGGCCAGCACCTCCGCTCTACACTCCTGTACCTTTGCTACTGCTGCGGTCATCTTATTCACTTCCTCYCTCCTCCTCTTCTTCTCCCTCTTCATTCTCAACTTCCATGCTAACTTTTGCTCGTCTTCCCTCTCTCTTCGTTCCATTGGGTCTGTCATGGMTGCTAGCTCAGCGGCCAACGCAGCCTTCTCATCCTTCGTCACGTAGGACTCCGCCTCCTCGTCTTCCCCCAACGATAAATTAGCGACCCACTCGCTGATCTTCTTCTCCAGCCCTGTATCTGTCTCCCTCGTCATCGTGCCAC